GTGTGTGTGTGTGTGTGTGTGTGTGTGTGTGTGTGTGTGTGTGTGTGTGTGTGTGGCTGTAGTTGGATTTAAGGCACGGGCTCTCTCACCTTTCATCGGATTTTAGCGAGCGATGTCATCAAACCAGTTTGAGCAAGAATTTTAAGACATAAATCAAGAGCAAGTTGTGTAATTGCGCTTCATTCCCCCCCCCCTCTTGTGCTCCTCTCAGACTTGAGAGTGAATCACAGAAGGGAAGAGTGCAAGCTGGGCCTCACACTGGCTGATTTCATAAGCTGGACGGACCAGTGTCGCACTCAGGAAACCATCTGAGCTACTTGTTGGTGACTGGCCAACTCAGCGTGATGGAAAAATTCACTTAATAACGGAAGCTTATATTTAGTGGCAGCGTTGGTTGATTTCATTTCTTTAGCATCAGCTGGCTGTTGACGATTTTAATGTCAATTTGTTCGCGCAGCTGCAAATGTGTCTTTATGTTTTGTTACAGTTGCGTATTTCATCATTTAAGTTTAGCCCCAGTTTCTGTTTCTGAGCGACGGCTGCTCAGCTGTGTTACTCAACAGTACGTGTTACTACACAAGAGGCCCAGTGATCTTTGAAAAGCCCAGTAGGTCGTTTTAACATCGCCAACTGCTGTTTTCAGGGCTCCAAAATCTCTATCCTATCAATATTTAAGATATTTGGACCCGTTTCTGAAGTTGTGCCACTGTTTTCTGATAAAGATGTTCGCTGGAAATAACAACTACGCCTTTATTGCCTCAGGCTGTCTGACTCTTGAATGGTAAACCATTGGCTCTTTAAGGTACATATTTTTAGTTGGTGGTATTTTCTTTATTTTAATATGTTTCATACAAGATAACGTGTGCAAAACAAGCAAGGATGATGTCATTTCTGACTACCTGGATAGGAAACAGTTGGAACTTTTTAAACAAGTTATGAAAAATATAGTTTTAAAAAGATAGTTATAAGAGTCCATGAGGATTCTGGAAATACCTTTCAGAACATTGGTACTGTCAGTGTTTAATCATCGGCCATTTTTTATTCTTCCTAAAAACAAGCTGATGCTTCTCCCTTGAATCTAACGGATCTACGTCAGAGGCACACACAGCGGTGTGCTTCCAGCTTGTTGTGGTGCGCGGAGGTGTCAGGTGGTCAGACTGCAGCGTATTGCTGTGCCTTTATAACACATCACTCTATCAGGAGTGTCAAACAGCAGGAGCTCACAGTGACGCCAGCGGCAGCCTGTTGTTGAGCACCACTCTGGTCAGAGTATAGGTCCTGAAGGCGTGTGGCAACCCGGCGACGGGGCTGTCTTGATTTAAGCCTCCCGACAAGGAAAGCAATTTTAAGGTGATGAAACTGTCACCCCTCCCACCACCTCTCCAAACACACTCCTGAAAAACACGACATAAAAACATAAACATAAAAACCGCCACTGCTGTCTGGAGAACCTGCGTCATGAGCATGTTTGACATGTATACAAAATAATGATCTTTACACTTGTCTCTAATCTAATCCTGGTTGACAAGTTCCTTGTTTGGAACGATATACCGCTTGGAAACGGAGTAAACTAACTGCACCGCTTCACACAGGCGCCTGACAAGGAAGCCCTGTTGTGTCACATCTTTACCCTTGACACTGTTAGGAGGAAATGTGCTTGTTATTGTGCTCTCACACTTCAGAGGTAATAATTACCTCGCTGCCAACATTGGCAAAGAGAATAATGTGTGTATGAGAGCAGCTTTTTGGCGACTGAATCCCCAAATGATCTTTGGTCCAGAGCCATCCGAACAGGATCCACTTCAAACAACCCCAAGAGGGAACTTTGTGGTTGTATTGGCTTTCTCCTCTTCTCTATTTAAAGACCAGGGCCTGGATTACTTTGGTTGAATTGTATTCCCTGGACTGTTGTTGTGTTGTTTTGTATTGTCAATGGGCTGCACTTGCCGTGTCACCCTTACCTAACAGCTGGCACATTTGATAACCCGCTCTGCCATCGGCTGCACTCCTGAGAAAGAAGGTTGTGGTAATGTCCCAGTCTTAACTGCTGTACTATTTCATCCTGTGCAGTTTTAAGAGAGAACTAACTTAGTCTTAATTACCTTTTTAATTGCAACTGTCGGAATTGAAGTTGGTTTGCCTTTTTGATTTTTCTTTCAGGACAGGTGTTTTGTGTTATGTCATTATGGCCGCCCCTTCTTATTCCATTAGTCAACCAATCTGTCATTTTGCTCTTAGACGACCAAGAGTTCTTTACTTGATTAGTCGTATTTCATTATTCTTTCATGCTGAGTGACTTATTTCAGAGAAGCTAATGAGCAAATCTCTGGTAAACACAAGACTGAAATGTTGCATTTGTGTGATTCTTTGTGGGGAAACTAATCGATTTCGTAGTCTAAGTAGTCTGAGTGTTAGTCGACTAGGAGTGTTCCTGGTTGAGGACAGCCCTATATGTCATCATTTAATTCAGAGAAGAGACTCATTTATTTGTTGTTTACAGTGTGCCAGTTAGATTTTACAACCCTTCTCAAAGTGGATTACATCACATGCGTTTTGTGGATCTGCGGTTAGTTTGAAGAAAACAACAGTACAGCGAAACCTTGACAAGGGAAGTGTTGCAATCAGTGAGTGCTTGTGTCGGTGCATGCTCATTGAGGCCTCGGCTCTCTCTGAGGCCAAACAATTACACACGCCATCAGTCTTGACTGACTGTGAGTAATCCACCTTCTCCTCAAGATCAGAAGCGTCGGAGCCTGTTGATGCTTGCAGCTGCAGTGAAAGGATTGTGGGTTTGTACAGTGTCCCGCAGACCACACAGGACCGGCTCCCTTTAGTGTGGCAATGAACTGTATTTATGTTCACACGTCAGAGTTATAGTTGATATCAATTTATCGCCATCTTGTGACCTAGAGGCTATTTACATCAGGCACTGGCGACTATCTGGATGTGTTACGAGGTCAACGTGTCATCGTTGCCACAGTTTTTATACGTGGTTTTAATTATCCGGTCTCATCTGCAACTTCTCGACTGCATTATCGGACGGAATTGTGACATGAAATTGCAAAAGTCGAGTCACAGAAGTAACTTTTCGTTTATTTGACTTTACAGTTCAGCTCTAATAAGTCACAAAGATTGTCTGGTTTATGTAAACGCAGCCTAAAAGTTAGAGGATAATCTGCGTTGTTTTATCTTTTAATGTTTATCAACAAATCACTGGCAATTTATTTGCTTTACTTTTTAATCCCAATGTAACATTTCTGTCTATTTGCTGCATCGCTGCCCTGAAACAGTATTGTTTCTCTCCAATTATTTTGTTTAAAATGTAAATTTATTGTGCTTAAATTGACTTAGGCAAACAATTCCAAGTCGAGGTGAGTTAAGCAGCTTTTTCTCGAGCTTTTTCCACTTTATCACATTTCACTATATATCAGCGGATTCATTTAGCTGCGATGGACCTGGTGACATGATACGATTTAATCCACAGCACTTGTTCAACATTACTGCTGATGAAGGCTGTGTGATACAGTCAAAAGCTCCAGAAAGAGTTAGTAAGTGGACCTTGAGTGGGGATTGTTTTATCAAACTACTTCCAAAGTTAAGAATAAACTTTGGAAGCTTTGCTTTAATTGACTTTTTATTTTCGTCTTCATCGTGTTGTTTAAGTTACTACAAGGAACTTTTAACCGGTTATGAAACTCTTAAAGTGTAAACCTGATGCCACTATATCACCTAAAGGGGGTCTGGCAGCTGCGGATCTTTACGACCCAAAGCGATGGAGCTCAACGCTTTAGACCACAAGGGTCCGCCAACATCAACAATTCAACAATCAACTCTTGTTTGGTAGAGAACTCCACCATCATTATTTGAATATGTCTTTCAATGAAATGGAAGTAATGAACATAAACACTATCATTGCCTCTAATATCGCAATACATATCACACTTGCAATATAAGTCAAAATACTGGAAATTTGATATTTCTTCAAAATATTTTAGCCCTAATTTCTGTGCCTTAGGTCAGGCACTTTGATTATCTCTGTGCTTGAGAAGTGCAATACAAAACAGCTTCGTCTTGCTAGTAGGATGGTTTAATTGTTGGTCTTGACGTTTTCTTTGTATTTATAGTAAAACCGTCACATGGCTCCTTTTTTAATTAACCTTAAACGTTGAACTGTCTTAGAGGTGCAGGCTGTGAAAGACTTGGGTCAATACAGATCTGTTGCTCTAATGACTCCAAATTGTTGACTCGGAGCACCGCTGGCCAGGGCACCATGGTAACCTTTTGTCTTTCTCAACTAAACATTTAAAACATCGGAGCATTTAAATTCTGGGATGCACCTGGTTGGTTTTGCTGGAGTTGTGTTGTGTTGAAAGTTCCTATGTTCTGTTTCTAAGCTTTCACACATGGAGAAGTCGGCTCGGCCAGTTCTTTCTCAGCTGCCGCTCTAGAATTCCTCACTTGCTCTCCAGGGCTGCCATTTTCCAGTTTCCAATGTGAGCCACTATCGGTACGGCCGGAGTGTATTAGATTCTCTATTGGGAATGTGGTGCTAAAAATACTGACCTGGCTGAAAGTGTACACTGATAGTAGCCCGGACTTGCCGCCCTGTGATGATTCGCCTTCTCCACAGGGTCACTTGGTACTCTGCTGGTTGACTTTACTGTGACTGCAGAACCCCCGTCCTCCTCGTATTGAACCCTGCGAGGGGCCTCTGTCTGTTAAGTTGTTTTGTTTGAATGTGAGTGGGGTCTTTTAAGAGAAAGACGGAGGCTCTTTGTAGCCGTAAACGTGTTGGTTGATTGATCTACGGTCGGCTACATTTGCTGCGGGTTCCTCTTGGCAGTTACTGTCAGTTTGCCCTGAAATGTTTCATTTGGAGGTCGATGTGTTGAAATTTCAGGTTTGTGGCATGCCGTTCATGCTTACGATTCGGCCGTACTGCCAAGACCACAAAGAGAGCTGCAGATATAAATGCAGTTGCAAAACAGAAATGTACTTTTTAACAAGCCAAGTTGCTTTTAATAGCTTGCAGTATAAACCCATGTTAGGACATTTTCTGTGTGTTTTTAAACAAGCCTCAACGTTTGCAGGCTGAACTTTAGGTAACTGCTGCGGAGAGAATGTGTTGGTTAAGGTCACGAGTGAAAAGCTTGTTGTTTGGACACTCTCTGTGTGTGTGTGTGTGTGTGTGTGTGTGTGTGTGTGTGTGTGTGTGTGTGTGTGTGTGTGTGTGTGTGTGTGTGTGTGTGTGTGTGTGTGTGTGTGTCGGTTGTCTTATACCGTTATGCAACAGAAGGTGTAAAATGAGCTGCTGCCATAAAGATGTGCACGCCTAGCTCTTGCGCCTCTTCCCCACATGGCTGACCAGTTGTCCTGATGCGCCCAGCCCAGTGGTGGGTCGGTCAGTAAACAAATACAGTCCACTCACCCGGCAGCACACCTCCAGCTGCAGCCGGGACTTGTGAACTGTAAAAATCGGGGCCTGGAATGTACCACATCGCACCCGCGAAGGAAAACATCTTTATTACTTGTGTTATGTCACACAAAGCGCACGTTAAAGAGAAAATATTCATCAAGTATTTTGAGTGTTGATCAAGTAATTTCTTCAAGCGAAAAGGCCAATGTGCTGCGTCTGGCTTTCCAGATGTGGGGATTTGCTGTTCTTCTCTGTTTCATATCATTAAATGGGATATTATTGCGTTTTTAGCTGTTTATTAGAAGACAACTTGCGCTAGGCTTTGTTCACTGTTGTCTGATATCCAATAGATACTCATTAAAAAGAGTATTGACAGCTCAGCATTAATCTATTGTATCACTGTGATACAGTATATTTTAAAATGTTCCAGACAGTGGAAATGTAAATCCTCCTGTATAATAAAGGAATTTCTCATCAAACAGGCTCGTGTGTCTGGGTGAGGACTGACGAAGCCACAAATCTACTGCTGGTGCAATACGTGCCCATCGGTGCTGGCGCTCCTCTCCCTGACGAATAATTTTAATGCATTAGCTCGTGTTTTTTTATGGTCTCGAGTTACAGAAGCAACTCCACAAATCAACTCGGCGTAACCAAGGATGAGCACAGCCTCACTCTGATGACAGCGGTCCATATTTGACAGTGGCTCACAGCCAGCTATGTGGTTGCTAAACAAAATGTCAGCGAAGACGGTCTGGTCTTCATCACAGTCAGAGACACAACCACATATTTTTCAGTAAAATATCCACTCTAATTATCAAGAGAACTATTTATTTTTTTCTTCTCTCTTTGAGACCACGTCTGACTTCTTTAACCCCGTTTTTCCAGTTTACAGAGCAGACATCTTGCCTCATGCGTCGGTCACGTTCGGCAGTTGGAATCTGCCAACAGCACAACAAGATAAATTGTCTTTGGGAAATCTTTTTATTGTTAGTGTCCGGGAATCATAAGATTTATTATTGCAATATTATTTAGTCACCTGTAACTTTTTACTGTACGTCTCGGCCGTTCCTCATAAAGTAGTTTGAGCCTTGTTTTTACTTGTTTTGTGAGTCATACATGTAGGTATTTGGTTTCTAAAGAACCTATTCCTTTTATGTCTTTTCAGTTTGTCCAAGCAAGGACATCCGCAACAATGTGAACAACCTACGCACGCTAGAGAACTGCACTGTTATCGACGGCCACCTGAAGATCCTACTCATGTTCAGGACCAAGCCCGAGGATTTCCGAGGCCTCAGTTTCCCCAAACTCACGGTGGTCACCGACTACCTGCTGCTCTTCAGAGTTTACGGCATGGAGACCCTCAGCGATCTCTTCCCCAACCTAACCGTCATCAGAGGCAACAACCTGTTCTTCAACTACGCCCTCGTGATGTTCGAGATGCTCCAGCTGCGAGAGATCGGCCTCCATAGCTTGATGAACATCACCCGGGGAGCCGTGAGAATCGAGAAGAACCCAGATCTCTGCTATCTGTCCACTCTGGACTGGTCCAAGATCCTCGACACGGTGGAAGACAACTACATCATGGCCAACAAGAACGGCCGAGAGTGCGGCGACGTGTGTCCGGGGGTGGCCATCGGAAAGACCACCTGCCAGACCACCACCATCAACGGACACTTCAGTGAACGCTGCTGGACGCAGGACCACTGTCAAAGAAGTAAGCAGTCTTTTGTTATAACCGTCTTGTGATTATTTATGGTGGAACTGGATTCATGCAAACAAACGGCAATGCTACTTATCTCTGATCCAGGACCATCATACCCGAACATGTCAGACACTTTTCATAACATTCAGTGTGGAAAGAATGGTGAAAAGAATTATAATTAATCTTTATAAACTGTATAAGAAGACGGCGCAGTCACTGAGATGTCAGCCGTTGGTTTGTGGACTCAACTTTGTTAATGTCCATCTTTACAGCAGAAATAAGCATGTTTACAACCTGCTACAAAAAAAAGTGTTTTGGTCTCTGTCACTAATTCAACTACTGTCCGGCGACGGCCGGAGTCACACACTTTGAGTTTCAAAGCTGCTCTTCAGAAACCAATGGGTGGCATCACGGAGACTACGTCCATATTTTATACCGTCTATCTTTGCAACCAGCAGAGTCGCCCCCGAATGCCAAATTTAAAGTACTTCGCATTGGCTACATTTTTCACAGTTTTGTTCCATATTTGTCACAGTTCGGTCTTTATATTATGTGTGACAAACAAATCACTACATCTAAAACATTTACACAACACTTGTTTTAAATGAGAGAATGTATCCAACACTTCGATTAGAAAGATTTGTTTTAAAATATAACTCCCAACTATTACTTTATTGTCCAAGTAGCAGCTCCTTGTGTAGTTCTTCTTGGCTACTTTCCGTCAACACATCACTATTTCCACTCCCCTTTGCTTTTGCCACGCGTCCAACCGCTCTAACATTTACAGAATCCAACTCTCCAATTTGGATCAAATAAAAGCACACGAGGGGCCGTGTTTGAAACCAAAGTCTTTGTTTTCGACAGAATGAATTATGACTTGCAGCCTAAAAGTTAGTTGTCCCTTTTTTGTCTTGAAATGTGAGAGCTGTTATGTAGGCCAAGTCCTGTGTAAATTCAGCTTGAACTGTACTCTAATGTGATGCAACACCTCACCAGTTAGTCTCTGAATGTTTACTCTCAATAGACTGTAGTGTTGTCATTGCTCATGACATGTGGAGGAGGTAAAGGAGATATTAGATATCGTGGCACATTGCTCATTGTTCCCATTAAGCCCAGCTCCTTTTACTGTAAAATGACAAGCCCGCCCATTTCACACTGCCAAAGAGTTCAAGTTCGAGCGCTGGGAAGAATTTTGCGCATGGGTGCTGTCTGAACACCTTGGCTCGCACCATTACGCAACACGGCATGCATTAGTCCAACAGGTCTTTTGAAGGAGTTTCCCTGTACATGTCTGCTTTCTTCAGGCTCTTAGTGATGTTTGTTTGGTGTGGCGGCTACAGTTACAGATTCTGTTGAGCTGAGCGAGCTCCATTATTATGCTATTCAGGCCCCTTACCGCGGAAGAGTGTTTTTTTTAATAGTTTTTCTACTAATGACTGTGTTTGAGGTGATTGCTCAGAGTCATCACAAATCTTTGGAAGATGTTTGCAGAACAGGCCCAGAAGGCCTTTTGCCAGATTGTGGTGAATGTTCAAAAGGAAGTGTTGTATAAAGATCTCCCAGTAGAGTTGATTCCCTAATTATCTGACATTATCTGATGATGAATCAAGAACAGCGAACGTTGACTAGTGAGCCCTGATCCCCGGTCATGGGTCTGTATTGTGCACGAGCATTGCCTGTGGTCTTGTGGTCTGAGACCTGCGGTTTATTGCCTACTTTCACTAAAGCATGAAAAGATCTGTTGAGCCCCAGTTAGAACCACAGCACCGAGTGCAAAGCATTGGGTGTCCTCGTCAGATGAAGTCTGTTACTGTGTTTTATAGACCTATGGAAGTTCTAAAAGTAAGCTAACCTCAGGCATTCTATATATCTTCTTCTGGTCTCACGTCTGCTGTTGTTGTGACTCAGATTATTTTTTATTTTTTACACAATAACATGCATGTATAAACAAGCATAGATGCTGGATATTATTGCAAAGGTAGCATTTTAGCACTATAGATCTCACTCAAATAGAGAATGGTGTCCGTCACATTATTTTGAGTGTCTGTCAGCTCTCTTAGTATCAAATAACAACTGAGTTTTGTGACGCAAAGTGTCGGCAGCTGTGAAGCGATGCGAGTGCCAGAGGTGACTGCTGGTCACACACTTTCAGTAGTCGGTACACAAAGAGGCTTTGCTTAAATCCCATGTTTGGTATCACAACCCATTTCCCTTCCCTGCTTCTACAACGAGAGTAATTTAAGCTTCTCTCTTAATCCAATCACATACGAGACATCGTCCCGTGAAGCATCTCTCTCATAATTTGCTATTAACTCTTCAGAATTGTATTCAAGTGATTTTTGGGAGTTTATCTAAGATGAATGTGAGACACTCGCACATCGGACATTGATGCAAAACAAGCATCAATAACAGAGCTTGAGCACTTACTGTGCATTGTAGAGGGCGTTTCTGTTGCTTTGTCACGTCACAAATGACTTATTGCACTCATATCATTATTACTTAAACCACTAGTCGCCACTGGACGACATGTTCTAACAGGTTGGAAGAGTTAGCGTGATGTCATTTTGGCCAATAGCCATTGAGGGTCTTTGAGGACCGTATGCATAGACTGCTGACTGCACATTCGTGAGTATATCTAATGGAGTATAAACAGAATCATGTGCTCGACACTCTCCATCCTTTTGTTGGTGTCTGCGTTCATTTTGGAGTATGTCAGGGCCTTATAATGTTAATCCAAAACATATCAAGGACTTTTGTTGTTACTGGCATCAATCAATAGTTGTGAAACCCCTTCTCTTCCTCTGTGTCTAGTTTATAAACACATGTTTAAATATGTTTCAAAACAAAGCAGGCCTTTATTTCCCTTTTTACAAATTGAGTTTAAACTTGCTGGCGTGAAGGGGAATCTCACAGTTGAGCCTATTTACTTGTAATCTGATATTTGAAGATAATGGGGTATTGATTATGGCTGTCATGTGGCACAGCTCCTTTGGCCGATAGGACAACAGCCAAGCTCCTGAAAGCGGCTGGCAGCTGAAAATATTGTCCGTGACTCAATAAGAAACCAGGGGCTTCCCGTTGGGATGTTATCCTTTTCCACTGCTGAGCTGTGCTGATAGATTGTCCATCTGTCCATCAAAGTTATCTTTAATTTAGCGTATTTTCTTTTCTCATTTTTGGGGGCATTTTATGTCTTCATTAGAGAGCCTCCATTAGAGAGGTGGCAGGAAATGAGGGCAGAAAGCCATTTGAAGTACAAAGTAGTTTCTTTTTAGGATTGTGCACATCATTTGGATTACTGTGAAATGAAATCCAATGGTCTTTTCCATATTTACATTTATAAGAAATTCTGAGTACACAACATTTTCTTAGGAAACGTGCTTTTACAGTCATTTTTCCACTTTGCTGTAAAAGTCTTCTTCACTACAATTTACCTTTTTAATCTTGATTTAATTCTTTTGCAGTCAACTACAGCTTGTGTTTGTGGCAGCTTGTGGTTTGCAGAGAGCCCAGAGAGATATAAACAAGCCTGCATTTCCCAGTATTTTACACACATGGAATACATTGATATTGATCTTAGTTATCTACCCTCTCCCGGAGATGAGACACCCAGGGGGGGGTTGGCGTCCTCCACCGCAGCAGCTTTCGTCACTGTTTGCAAGATCTGTCACTTATTCAATAAGCTCCCATAAGGTGGAGAACAGCAGGAGAAGCCTCAACTTCTGATTTGGTTTGGCACGGTCCACGCGTGTAGCATGCGCGTCTCTGCAGCCTGTTGGCAGAGGGAGACCACTGTTAGCTTCATGCCGGCTGTTACAAATGGAGTATTCCTCTGAATCACATTTCAGCCAGGTCAGGTGAGGACTCGCTGCTGGACTTTTCTTGATATGGATATTCCAAATTTACTCTTGGCTCACATGTCTGTCCACCAATCACAAGATGGACTTGGAGATTTGTGTGTGTGTGTGTGTGTGTGTGTGTGTGTGTGTGTGTGTGCGTGCGTGCGCATGCGCGTGTAGTGGCAACACAGGCTTATAAATCACACGGGTGTGTGTGTGTGTGTGTGTGTGTGTGTGTGTGTGTGTGTGTGTGTG